CTTAGTGGTCAGTCAGTGTGAGTAAGTCGCCTCTGAGGGAGAGCCAGCTGAGCCCAGGCCTCCTAAAGCACAGAGCTCCACCACACTAGCACAGGCCTACGCTAATCACACAGTCAGGTTTCACAAACATGCTCTCAATCACCATAAGGAATGTAGTACCAGAAATGTCATAAATATTAAAATGAATGACGGTGGTGGTGGTACTGATATTTACAACTGGCTATGAGACTGAATGCACTAGAACAGTACAGACAGAATAAATCCACTTTCTTCCATGTTTTGTTTTGTGATGTCAAATGTCACGGCCACATTGTTAAGTACCATGACAATGCGTAAAGACATTCATGTATCCTAGAGGAATAATTTCATGTTTTTAGGCAACCCCCTTGGCTTTCCTCAGCTGAAAACATGAGGTTGACATGTGGTTTCAAGCTGAATTTTCATGGTGCACATCACCATGCTGGCATTGTCATTGTGAGCATGTTAGCATGCAGACATTAGCATTTAGTGCAAAGCACCACAGTGCTTAACCCTATAAAGCCATTTGTATCATATTTGATATATGAGGTTTCTGAGCAAAAAAAAAAAAAAAATCCCCAAAAATGCCCCATGTATCAAATGTGATACAAAAGAAATAGAAATAATCTAAATAATATGGCACCTCTATTCCTATATGATTGGATTGTCTGTCTATGCATATATGGCAAATAAAAACCGTGAATCTTGAATTTTGAAATATGAATTATATTTTGGATTTAGTTAAAAAAATCCAAAAAATTAGAATGTTCTGGCTATTTTTTTGATATGTTGGGCTTCACAGGGTTAAGATCAGAGTCGTCCCAGTAAAAACACCAAATGTATGACGGTTCCAGCTTCTCAAATCTGACAATTTGCTCCTTTTCCTTATAGTAAAATCAAGCTACTGTACAACAAATAGTTGATTATGTTTATTAATCTTATGCCAATCGAGTGATAGACTGCTTGGCAACTACAAACTGCAAATACTTTTAAAGCAAATATGTCAACCATTCTCTGGTTCCAGCTTCTGCAGCCTGACAGTTTGCAACTCTTCTGTTCATAACAGTAAAGTGAATCCTTATGACATTTTATGTACTAGAAACAATATCAACAACTAACTGAGAAAATAGCAAGTAGATTAATCAACATGAGGAATCGTTGCAGCCCTGAACTGAATACCTTTGGGTTTTAAACTGGTGGTCAGCTTGGGCTCTCAAAATGTGCAATGACCATATTTAGTAACATTTTATAAACCAAATGATTAATCATGAAAATACTGGGGACATTACTCTAGTATTAAATAATTATTAGCTGCGCCCCTGGTTAGAAATGTTAAAATTAATCACATGCATTCAATGTTGACTGTAAAATTTTATATAATAGAGCAATTGATATGAAATAACTATTAATCTGTTTTTAATCCAAATGTCAAATTGGAGATATGCTGTTTCTATTTCAACACATTTAGTGAGACACCACAGAATCTAATTAATATTTATCCTAGAAAAGGTTTTTAAAAACTGCCTCACTTTCTGTAACATTATGGTACATTACATCATGGCGTTACTGAGAAGCAAGTTTAGTTGGTTTTGATCCAATTTCAGTTGCTCACTCCAGTTAAATCAAACAAGACAATAAACATCTGTACAACACTTGACCAAACTTTTAAACACACGTTTCTAGGAACCTGCATTAAAGGCTTATCCAAGCTTTCTGACAGTATTTGGAGATAATCATTCCTACTCAAGCTACACAGGTGTCTCCTTACAGAGATAAAAGGCTGCAACCAAGCCCCAGGTCTTCTGGCCAAAGGACTCCGCACACATTCCACAGCATGGTTCAACAATGCAGCAGCCTACGTAGCTCTCTGAGGGATCAAACTGGTGTGTGAGGGGCAGACGGGGCCTCACAACTCAGACCTGCCGTGAAAAACATCTGACTTCTAAGTGAATGTCTTCTTGTTAGGCGTGATAACTTTTCCTCCCATGCTGAAAAAGCTCTTTCACAAAAGTGGAATCACTTACATCTACATTTTTAGGCTGTTTAATCTTCTACTATATGTGATCACAAACTGCTAAGTGATGATTTGTCAGAATCTTCCAACACGTAGCTAAATGCTCTATCAGGAGTACTGAGCCATGTGTTTACCAACCAGCTCCGACAACAGGGAAGAAAAGGTTATACTCTGAAAAAGAGGGTGCGAGTGTTTGAAATAGTAGAGGTGTAGAAACAATCTGACTGCGCTGACAGAGAGACCAGTGTAACAGCCAGCATACGACTTTGACCAGCCAACTTCTCCACACCCACCTTCACGATCTGGCTACTATGTGTGGGTCATCATGTACCGTAACGGTACTGGCCTGTCAGCCTGTGGAGCTGAGATCATGACCTGCAGTTATATTCAGGACAAAGGCACTCAGAGGTATAATTTGTTAATCAAATGACTTAAAGAACATCCTGGCCAAACCTCTACAGGATGGGTGGCATACGTTATTTTCTATTGAGGAGGGGGTGTATTCCTGTAACCATGTTAATAGTGTACCCTGAGACAAAACAATCTAAATTATTGTAAACAGAGCCTCTGAGGTGGCACCGACTTTAGAGGGCTGACTAACTGAATCAGAGTTAAAATAGCCAACAAGACTAATGCCCCATTCAGACCAACAGAGAAGCAGGTTAATCCCATGTTGGGAATCTGTACAGGTCAACTCGTGTCCTGACGAATGTTCTGGATCAGTCCAACCAACAGACTGTCACTGACCTCCCTGTAGTTCAAATGCAAAGGCAAAAAACTCTACAGCAACAAATGGGCTTGCTTACATGGTGTTCATCTGGGAGCTGTTCTGTGCATGTGAACAGGGTAAATCATAAACAGCCACAGTTTAAATGTATGCACAGCCAGTATGAGCTCCCTCGCTCTTGGTCTCAGTGTGAGCTTTGCCCCTTGCTGGTATGAGCTTACAATTACCATTAAAGACAATTTACACACAGGCATCAACACTGTTTTCTGTCATCTCACTAGTAACAGTACAGCAGTCAGCAAATGTTAAGCTTAGGCAACACTAAATATTAAAATGTTTAACCGACAGAAAATATGAACACAGAGGAGTTTTTCTATGATCAACAGTCTTTCAACTCAATGCGTAACATAACAGTACCCAGGTTTGAGTGAAGCACAGCATGCGGCAGGCTAACAACCACACTAAAACAGCCGCTTTCTCCGCTGTCACACCAGGCTGCTGGGGCCAAGGCAACCATCAGACTGAAGCAATAAACTCCTGGTCCTACACAGCTGAGCGTGGCCTGGCCATAAAAAGGCAAACAGAGGCTCCTCACACTACACACTCATTTTACCACTCAGATGAGGAGAAAGTCTGAGGATATAATGTTGTATGTTGATGTAACAGTAAACACTGTGCTTCTAGAAGTATAAAGTAGCATAAAATGAAAATACTCAAGTCAAGTACAAATAGGCCTATTATATATATAT